CGTAAACTTTCTTGTTTCCACGGTAACATTTAAAATTGGTCCTACATTATTTCATCACTGGTGCTTGAGGACAGGATTCCCCCTATTATTATTATTATCCTCAAGCAAACAAACAAAATGAATAAATAAATCTACACGACACATTATTTAGACAATACATGAATATCTTATCACATACATGAAATTTAATGACCAATAATATATATATATATTATTATTAATGACCAATAATATTTATTTATCTCAGATGTTATATATAAAATAACGCTTGATATTAGTTTGATAGGATTTATTTGAAGTTTGGCGTATCTGGTCGCGGTGACATATGACAAATTTGGGAGCGGCCGCCGGGTCGTCTCCCCAACAATAACAACAAAAGTGGCGGCCCCAAATGGGCTAAATATTGTGCACTGGGTAAATTTCGCAAATGCACAACGCCACGCAAAATGGATACAATGGGCCAATATCCCATTTAGATAGTATCCATGTCAAATGAATGGGCCAATGTCCCATCAAAAATGTAAAATCAATACAATATGATACACTGGGCCAATATCCCATTAACAATGTCATCAATGTTAAATCATTACCATATTGTTCAATGGTGCAATATCCCATTAACATATCCAGGTACTAAAAATGTTGAGATTTGCTTTATCAATGTTTAAAATAAAAGTAAATGCGCAAATAGCGCCACAGATGCGCAAATAGCGCCACAAATGCACAAATAGTGCCACAAATGCGCAAATAGCGCCACAAATGCACAAATAGTGCCACAAATGCGCAAATAGCGCCACAATATGTCATACGAGTTAACAACAGCACTCGTTCATGTGAGGTGGGGTTGACGATAACGCCACATGCTCGTAAGAGCATCCGCCACCAATAACTGTCACACAAATTGGTGACGGGTCGTCATTCCCCACCTCTGTCACCACTAACCAGCGCCATTTATAGTTAAGTTTATTTTTGCCCTAATTATTTAAGTAGCTATGGTCATGATAAAGGTACCCCTTTTTACTTACCTTATTAATACTTCCCTTATTTATCGAAAAACACAGCAATTTTTGGAACTTAAAGACAGCCAAATGATTTTGACCAAAAACATTGTGTGTTGCCTGCTATTGAATCGAGGCATGATGTTGGGATAAGATGATTGAATTTACTTAAGCGACAGACTTTATAATGTGACAGTATATTACATATTTTCAAGGATAGGCAGTTGGACATTATATCCACAACTTTTTCTACCTAGTATATTTTGCAAGATCTGTGAACTATTTTATTGGGTGTTTATGCACGATATTGAATCTTGTTCGAGGATGCTGAAAAGGACATATAGGGGGGGGGGGGGGTTAATAATGTACAAAGGATAATAAACACAAATTTTCAAATTTAAAATTGTGGAATTATTTGTAAATGTACGACTTGCACAACCGTTAGCAACCAAGTACAATGAGTTTAAAAAACAACTTCGGATTACAGGACATACATAACAATGGATAGTAAAGGGAATATATAATATGACTTTTTTTATCGTTTTCTCGACTTTTACAGGGCAATAGAGGGAAAGTTTTACTGCAGTGGTAATAAGTTAATTCAGTGACATAATCATATAAACAAGTCTTGTTTGTACCAACAAATAAATTTGTCGTAATCTTATCTAACATCTAGTTTGTATGCATGCTTGAACACAACCGAGAGATGTGCGTAGTGAGAGCACTTGTATTAAGAAATTACATTAAACTGTTCTCAGCATGTGAGCACCACAGGCCGTGGGCCTGTATGGTATATATTCTCCCGGGAACGTATGTATGAAGAACTAATTAATGCCTCATTGTAAACGTTGAGAACAAATTATGCTTATTGATTAAACATTAGAAATCATATGATTTGAAATCAGAATGCTAAAGAGGGATTGATAATTAGTACCGATAATGACGGGCTTATTGAGCCTGAGAGATATTATACCTATTTAAGATCTAGACATGGAAATAGGTGTTTCCCTTTCTGTTAGATTTTCCATTCCCTTAAAGACGCTCATACTTAAAGAAGAAAATACCGGGTATAAAACTTGACCGATGTTTAAGTTACCCTTAAATAAGGTAGTTCCCCGACTGCACGTATAAAGTCCCCAAATCCCTGTGTACTCTTTTCTCATCCCCGGCTATAAAGTTTAATGTATAATCGTTCGAGTAACTTTTTACCCTTTATCCTAAAAGACGGCTACAGGTATAGGCAATTGACATGATTGCTCCCACACTAATTAGGCGGAGACAGTTAATTTCTAAGGGGATAATGTGATCTGCTCATGTGATATTGGCTACCCTAAATTTTTTTTTTTTTTTTTTTTTTTTTTTTTTACGTATTACTATTACAAGCCCATTGTGGCTATATATACGTTGAGCCTAAACTTTTTTTTTAAAACCAAATCTCCAGGATGTTCGGTATTTATTTTAACATGTAAAGGGAGTCATATTCTAATGGATTCACCCCCGATGTCGGTGAAAAGCTGTAGAGTATCACGAGAACTCCCTTTATTCTAATGGATTCACCCCCGATGTCGGTGAAAAGCTGTAGAGTATCACGAGAACTCCCTTCAGTATCATTCTTCAAATAACCCCATTGAAGTTAGTTGGAATTAATCACATATGAATGTTTAGTTATCTAGCTTTAGTAACCTATTGACAAGATTTAAAATTTAATGCCAAGCATATTACAGTAAGGCCTGGTTGATGCACGGCTACCCGGAATGGCCCTTAAGGGGGGGGGGGGGTTCTGATAAGATTTGCGTTTTGTTGCTGTGAATCGAATTTACATAATCTGTCTATTTCTAGCTCCAAGAACCCTAAACATGTTGTGAATCCCTGGGCTTTATCCATGTGAAGAGGTACAAATGTGTATCTATTTGAGCACACAGGCAAGTGTCTGCCCATCCTGCAAAAATATTGATATTTTAATATAGATAAGTGATGTGTTGTACCTTAACCTGCTTATTTTGTAAACGACCAATTACACTAATGTAGAGAATGTATAACATATTATAATATGGAAATACTAGTATTTTGTCTATGGATTAGGCTTCCCTAAAATAAAGTCCTAACAGCTTACATCCTTATGTATAAATACCAGTATATACGTTTGCCCCATCTGTTTTAGGTTTTTAGAGAAAATGGTGCTGCGAGTCTTCGAAACATGACATCAACTGTGTCGAAAGTTATTCAGTGTTAACTGTTGTTTCCCTTGGGTTTATGTGTGCGTTAATGTTAAATGGAAGTGGGTCGGTAAAATAAGTGATCGAACGCGAGCAACCATAATCTTGAGCATCGTCCCGGTTGGGGATATTTTGAGATATGGGCGTTTGTAATCGGGTCAAAATTGATACCCCTGACTCAACTACCCCTTACTCTCACTTGCCCGGAAAAACGTCCCCATTTTGATTTTCCGATACGAAGTATGTTAGTTCTTGTCCCCGTTTATAAATTAATAACTTAAATTCTGATTTAAAACCCTTTTCCAAAGCATGGCACGACTGCTCGTTTTAGTCAAGAAGACAGTAAAGGCGTTGGTTATGAGATTTAAATGACTTTGCATTCGTATGCACTTGCGTTGACCTTATGCAAGTGTTAGACTGAAACATGCTATATTCCATGCACCTGTGAACATACGGATAAGTTTTCCTATTATTATTTCTTATTTTTATTTTATTATTTCACCCTAAGAAGGCCACTTATTCGTGACCACCCCTTACCTAAAGTTGGCCTTTTGAATTATGTCCCTTGTCTTTGCTTGTACGTTTCCAAAATTTTAATTGAAATTATGTACTAAAAAAAGAAAATAAATAAATAAATAAACTTGTGTCTATTTATAGCAATTTGTTAAATGGAATTTATTTTATGAATCAATGTATAATTATATATTTCTAAAGAACGGCTTGTATAATCTTGTTAGCATAAGACGTTTTTATTTCAGCCTAAGAGGGCCACTTACTCGTGACCACCCCAACACGAGGCAGTGATTGGATAAATTATTTAAATGTATGGTTTTTCATCCAAGTGATTTAAGCAAGAGTTATTTCCCCACGGTCGGCATTTTGTAATTTGTGTTGTACTGTAGGTCGACATTCCAAGCTTCCTGGCTTCATTACATTCTAAGTTAAATTTGTTATTCTGGGCACCGAAATTACATTTTCGTGATGAAGATTGAAGTACTAGTTTGAAGTTTTTATACAGGTCTGTGATAATACGTTTGTAAAAGCCGCTTTAAATTCATAGCAATATTCATTTGAAAATTAGACCGCTATATATAGGCTTAGTTTACCTTCAATCCGATGAAAGTATGCGTAATCGGATTTAATCTTTCAGTGAAAATGAACAAACGTGGTCTATTTGAGAAGACACTGTCAGGCTAAAACGTATTTTCTTTTTTTAAAATATCGATCCAAAATTGAAATGATTGTATCGCCTGAACCAACCTACCCATGTGCTTGTCGTCTTACTTAGAAAGGAGGAAATTACGTCACGTACCAAGTATATATAGTCACTGTGGCATTTCTAACAAAAAAAAACTGGTATGCACAACCCGGATTATTCCGCGAAGTACATACTCAATCTAAAATGGGCAATGCACATGTATCACTGAGATAAAATCCCATATTCCTTGACGTTGCTTGAATATGGGTTAATATATTAGTATTGATTACCGGACACTGAGATATTCATTTTATTTCTTTTGGATATATATATATATATATATATATATATATATATATATATATATATATATATATATATATATATATATATATATATATATATAGAAAAGGAGAAAACAAGATAAAGATACTGAATAAACTGATTTATTTCACTTCAGAAATCAGAATATAACATGCAAGAAAAGGCAATAGCAGATCTCTTAATATACAGTATATGTTCATGCATGTATATATACCGCACTAAAATCCACATGTACTGCAGATCATTGTCAATACATAAAAAAACTTATATAGCTTTTTCACAGATAAAGTTAGATCTTCTGTTACATTCTGTATCATTCCAGACGTAATGGTATCCACCAAAGAAATGCAGACAATGTTCTCTACCTCTATAATTATCGGGTTGTCCACGTGGCCAGGCTGAATAGTAAAATCTTTTGTTACTATCCATCCACTTCCATACTCCTTCCATAATGATATCTGAACCACCGAGCCAAAAACTTCCTGTAAGGAGAAAATCAGGATAAATGAATAAATGACTACCAGGAGGAATGACTGAATCGGACTACATATGTACTTAATTCTACAGCAATATTCGAATTGAAACAGCTGAAGCATTTTCTCTCAAAGATTTTCATTTCTTTTTTCATAAAAAAAGAACTGACCTTTAAGGCGCCTGGCTTCATGTTGAAGAAAGTAGTTTTCTGATGACGATTTTACCTCAGCCAACTTTGCCCCATTGGTCTTGCAGAAGGTCTAAAACATCAGAAGCGGGGAAACTATATATAAACCAAAACTTCACTTTAAGTTGAAGTTTTTTTTTTAGCTTTATTACATATAAATAGATAATTACATTTTAGGTTCACGGTAACTTAGATTTTCACTGAACAATGCCTTGTAAATATAATGAGATGAATATGAACTTCAGATATTTTTATTTAGAGTACATGTACTACTTTAAACAAAAGTGAAAATGGACATCGAGTGATACATTCATGAAAAAAAGCAAGAATTGTTAAGACTCAATACACAACTTCGAGTGAAACATTTTGTCGAACAATACTTTATCTCCTTTCTTTCGCATAGTTTACAATTTTGTGTACCATTAAATATCAGTATTTTTGCTTTTAAAAAAGATGCCACTTGAAAATTCTCAGGGCTCACATGTTTTTCAAATGCGGCTGCTGAGAAAATTGCTCTGAATACAAAATCAGTACTTCCAGTTAGAGTAATTAAAATCATGTATAAAAATTGATGTAATCTAAATACACCTTCATTTTGTATATGAGGTTTGTTTTTACTATAATTTATTATTTTTTACTTTTATATTTATTTTTTCTCCACTTATCCCCTCTCACAGACAGAAACATATTTGTCACTATTATGATAAATTTAAATGAAGTACATATATCCGATTGTGATGTAATAAAATTAAGTACCATTGCATCGATCCATTCTAAAGGATAGCGAGTAACAAACAAATAACACTTGTTTGAAAAACGCATCCAATGATCTGGGCATCCTGCAGAGACATTCCAGATTTCTAAAAGAATAATGGAAATCAACTGATAAATATGTACATAAAATATTAAGAAAAATTAGAATAATGCATATATCGTCCTAAAACTCTGCCATTTACAAAGATTTGAACTCCTGAACAAAAATATTTGACCAAACATTGAAGTCCAAGCCATCTTTTTAAATTACCCTCTCACAAAAATTAATTCGTTAAAAGTTGGCTAGAGGTTTTTTTGTAGGAAATTTTTAACAACAGTAATGGAATTCAAAAAAAATAAATCAAATGTTATTTAAAATTCTTGTTGACGGGATAATAAAATTCCGGAATGAATATTAAATTATTGAAATTCATATAACGAGTATACGACAATGGAATTAGAAAACGACTCGTTTCCAGCTGCAGGTTTAAAAATTCAGTCGGGGCATTTTTAACCGGCCTGAAGAGGGCAAAAATAAAAATGATTAAAAAATGGCCCAATGTGAAGGGATGCGCATAATGTAAATATAGTTGTAACATGCTGCGAGAAACGAAAACAATATATTGAGAGAGGGGATGAATCATCAAAAACAAAAGCACCCCAACCCCCTTTCTTTAAAAAGAAACAATCAAACAAAAGGGAAATTAATTTTCTTAGTACAGATTTTACGCAACATTAGAATCATTTTATGATAGTTTAGTATACAAAAAATTTTACCATTAATCATGAGAAGCCATAGACACTGGTATCTCTTCATGATAATAACGCTGATGTTAAAAACTGAATCATATAGTCCGAATAGAAGCGGAGGTTTAAATAATATTCATAAATCATGTAAACCATGTTATCAAATTCCTTTTTTCGTGTGCATGTTCCTTTTTATACACTTTAATTGGATTTTATTACATTTTAATGTCAGTCATTTAAACAACTTTTTTTGTTTGTTTGAAAACCATGTACAGAAAGTGTACATGTACATCTATTCAGGCGTGCTGATATAATTTTGATACGGATTAGACGGATGCAAAAATCTTGATTGTTAAAAATAAAAATAAAGATGGACATATTTTTCATTATTTTTTAAAAATGTTTGATTTTTTAGAAAATTAAAACAGCTTGATGCAAAGGATTGTTTAACGTCCCTCTCGAAATTTTTCACTCATATGGAGACGTTACCGTATGCCGGTGAAGGGCTTCAAATTAAGACCTTTACTCGGCACTTAGGGCCATTGAGCAGTGAGGGATCTTTATCATGCAAACGCATGCAGCTGACACGGGGCCTCGGTTTTTAAGGTCTTATCTGAAGGACCATGTGCCGATGCGAAGGAACAGTTGCTACCCATTCTATCGAAAATTGTCACCAAAAGACGACCTCCCGATCACGGAGCGAGCGCTCTACCGACTGAGCTACCGTGAACGGTTGCAGGTCTACGAAAATTGTCACCAAAAGACGTAGACAGGTTTATAAAATTTCTCTTTCCTAACAAAATTATCTCTTTTTTCAAGTTTCATAAAAATATCAAAATGACTTTTAAGAATTAGAAAATAAGGAAAAAATAATGAAAATACTTCATACTTATTGCTTTGACAATAACAGGTCTTCCTTTTTTTTTTACTCCTTTGACGAAATTAAACAATTATAATAATATCAATTGTAGCCTTTGTAAAAAATACATCTTGATTATTTCTCGTATCTCTCAACCAATCACATCAAGCAAGATAAACGTGCATTTATGGGGTCAACTGAACTCTTTCTGTGTGCATTATCAAACTATTTACGAAAGCTAATTTTATTTATGAAATATTTATGAAATATTAGTATATGGAAATAATGAACAATATGCAAGCTCAAAAAGCCAATTAACAATTATACATATTTTGGAGCAGAGCAAACAAGAACCTCTAAAACATCAAGGGTGACATGGAGGAGTGAACCTCCCCTGCCAACCGGTCATATCCGCTGTATGCGTTTTGTCATGATCGGGAAATAACGCAAAAATCCGTTCAGTGTAATATGTTTTAATGTTGTAATAATTAGTATGATAAACGCGATGACTTCAACTTTTCTATGATAATTCGACACGCAAGATCATGCAATTTCTAAAAAGAGATAAATTATTGACAAACAAGTTGATGAAACAAGAATATCAGCAGCCTCATTTAAAGTCATCATTTCTTAAGTTCTATGGTGGATACAATGACCTTGTCAGCAAATGCAATTTATCATTGAGTCAAATGCTTACTGTCGTTTTCATACTAATTGTTAGTCCATTATTTATACGCTGAATTGACGACGAATTTGCCGTTATTTCCAGATCATGATCAGGTCGGCAGGAGATGTTTTGGAGGCCCGTGTTTGCTCTGCTCCTATTTTGTACTGTTTTTTGGACTTCTGATCTTGAATATTGTTTGTCATCTACACATGTTTCATGATAACGTTAGTCACCATTTGATTTTAATGAAATTGTTTGTTGTGGGGAATGGCTATATATAAAGTTAAAAGTCGTACGCTTTCATATTTTTGATTTTTTGGGGGAAAATGTGATTCCAAAGTTTCCAAAAGTTCCTTGGACATTTTAAGTCTCTCCATCTGATATACACCACTTCTCTAATATGTGTAGTTGCACAGTAATCCCGAAGTTTGTCGTTCACAATTAAAAATACTAGTATCTAAGTGAGAAGTAAAGAAGGAGGCTTGGTACAACGTTTACTGGAGACCCCTAAGAATCTTTCTTTTGTGAGGATTTTTATGAAGCTTCGTGTGCTTTTCAATGGGAGAAGCAAACTTTGAATTATTGAATGAAATTCGTCAGGGGTTCACGGCAATATGCTGTTTCAGGAGCCCTGGTACTTTTAGGATGTAAGCTATGTACAGTATAATTGTTTTCTTAAACCTATCAGGATTTCTCAATTACCTATAATTAAGGAATTATATGAGTCGGGTTTCATTTTAATGATAACTCTTAGACTTGGCATTGAGTACCTTGCCTCCGATTCCTATTGATAGTGGATACTAGTATATGTACTAGGTGTTTCGATCTTTTTCAGAACTACATAACCCGATATCTTGCCTCATTTAATGTGTATTCAGTTCTTGTTACTGATGCAAACCCATTTACACTTTCTCTAATTCTTTCATCAAGCACACCGACGGCCGTTTAGAACAAGAACTCTCTAATTCTCTTAGTGCTGTCTATTTTATAACCTTTATACCCTTCAAAAAAGAGGACAGGTTATTCCAATTAAGCCATACATTTGCGTGTTCTGTGCAATTTTACTAATCATTACAATACAATTTAAATTATATTAACCATTTTGGAATCCAATATTTCAAAAAATACTTACAGAGATGCACAGCAGGATTTAGTTAATATTAACTTAGCCCCTCCTTAACTCTTAATGAAATATTAATAGCATTGATTGAGACACTTCAGTAGTACTGTACACGGCTATGACACAATCGATAAATGGTGATAATAAAATATAAATTCTAAGAAAATTGTAAAAAAAAAAACTTTGAGAAAAATTAAAATCACGGAAATTTTCTAAATTCAAATCATGACAATACTACGTATGGCTTTACCTTTTTAAAAAGAGCATAACAACTTTTCTTCAACAAGCATTCTGAGATCATAGCGTATATTACTAATATATTGGCGACATTTATACCCTTGTTCACTCTAAAATTTAAAAAAAAATCAAAGAAAAAATGAAATTGATATGTAGCATATTGCGATGGACTCACGTATCAAACACAGGCTTTAAATATCCGCAGAAATGTTCAGTCTGTAATGGTCAGACTGACAGACAACCAATTAAAGAGTCCTTCATTTTATAGCACTTATAAATACGGTCGACAAGAAATACTATAGGTACATTATTATAGGTACAATTTTATTGTTTTTATGACATGTTGACAATTTCCACTATTTTGTTTTCTTTGATTTTGCTTATTTAAAAAGTTAGTACAAAGCATCAACTCCTTTTTCTAATTCTTTGTCATTAAGATACATGTACATGTCAGATAGTCCTCCTTATTCTTAAATTAATTTTGAAGCTGACATCAAAAGAAATAGCATGATATGCTGTACTTATTTGCATGGAATATAGTCCTTTATTTCAAAGTGTGGTTTTAAATCGATATCAAGTGTTGAATAAAGCGTTGCACATTTACATCACTGTATACAACAAAAATCTTTGTGGCTGCAAAGAGAACCAATCTAAACAATTTAAAAAAAAAACAACAACCGCGGACAGGTTTTGATGTTAAGGGAAATATCAAAACAATTATAAGGTATCCATTCTTTATTTTATTTAAACATATAACAAAATCATTATCAGTCCAATAATATTTGTTGAATAGATGTATTTTAAGAATATTGATAATTGACTGCTGTATTTTGTAAAGATTTTTTTTTAAAGTTTTAAAATGTTTAAGTCATTCTCTTTAACAGTTTAAAGGAAAATCCAAAATAAACAAATTATCATAAATATTTCCCATGCCTTCATCAGATTCCTAAACAAAGTTGAAAATTATGCAGCTCTTTGACAGATAAAATTAAATCTGTTTTCACAACGTTCATCATTCCAATAATAATTACGATCTTTATATAAATGCACACAATGTTCACCCGCTCCATAGGAAACGTTGGGTTCGCCACTCGCCCAGCCAGAATAAGAAAATGAGGTTTTACTGCTCATCCATTTCCATACTCTGTCAACAAGGATATCTGAGCCACCGAGCCAAAAATTTCCTATATTAATGTAATAAAAAAAAATAAGTGCGTTAACACTTTTTTAGGGAATGGAAAGAAAAAGAATAGACTCTGAATATGCATATAAGAATTGCAGCAACACACCTCCAAGTCGTCTAGCTTCATGCCGAAGAAAGTAGTCTTCGGCAAACGATTTTATCTCTGCCAACATTGCTCCGTAAGATCTGCAAAATGTCTTATATAAAACATGAATACTGTATCAAAAGATAAATTCAACCTGGTTTTTGTAAAAAAAAAAAAAAAGTTCACGATACATTAGATGTCAAACTCCAGATTAGCACAACAAATGGTTTAATTACCCAACCTTCAAAAATAAATATTGCTTTTAATATCGACATTATTTTCATTTAACTATTGTGTAAATGATTCAAAAGAACATCTAACCTGAAATCAAGATAACGAATGTGTTCCATTTTTTTAAAGCATACAAATTATTTTCTACTATTTTTTTCCCATGACCCCATCCCCGAGTTTTCAATAACATGCATTTATTCCCTTTCTTTGAGAACAATTGCAAGTATACTATACTTTAAAAATATAAATTGAATAACCATTGCGTCAATCCATTCCATAGGGTAGCGAGTAACAAAAAGATAACAGTTGTTTGAATATCGCATCCAGTGATTGGGACATTTCGCAAATGCGGAGCCAAACTCTAGAAAAATGAAAAAAAATAAATACATATGTATGTGCTGACAATCAACGTTCATGCTTTTGATTAAATATATTATTTTACCACAGAAGAGAAGTATTCAATCTGTCAAAGTTTCTCCCAGTGATATTGATATAATAATATTATTTCAATTGTAAATTTTGCTAAAATCTCTCTGCAAGAAACAAATCAGGTTAATATGAAAAAAAAACAAATGAAAAAAGATTAAAATACCTGTGATAAATTTCAAACGGCTGTTCACATTTGCCTAGAGCCTTTGTTTTGATCGGATAAAAGGGGTTAAATTTAAAGTAACAATGGGGATGAAACCTGTCAGACAGAAAATGATTAAATAAATAACTATAACGATATAAAAAAAAATCATCCCGTTGTTCGTTGGACTAAAACATAAATAATTAGTGAAACATCTTAGTACTGAACAAACGTGTCAGAATTTGTGATGTCCTTTTTCTTTTGAGTTCAGTGGGATTTGTAATAAATAAAAGAACGAGATGATGTTGAAAAGTTGACACTTTTCATCATGCACGTTCTTTAACTCAAGATTTTTTTAAATCAAGGAGAAGAGTAGATTTCCAATGCATAAATGCATTTTTCTACATAATCAAGGTAACGCCGTCCCACTAAGCCCTCACCCCGGGGCCACATAATCCATTATTTAAGAAGGACCACATGTGTTCATCATAACCATGCACTTAATTAATAGATTAACGCCAAAAAGAAGAAGAAAAAAATAATTTTAATAATGCATATTCACTATATAATCCGACCATACACCAAAACTCCTGACACAGGGCCACAAACTCACAATTTTGAAATAGGCACCATTGTTTAAATTTATATTTTTTCAATAACAAGGATTGGACAAGAAGATTTCTAAAGAAACATTGTATTTTCACTATTTATTCAACAGTGGCCCGACCTAGCACCAGAATCCCTGATCATGTGGCCATCAATTTCACAATTTTGGGACGTGATGCTAATTTCAATCATGCCATCAGTTCTGGGTGATACTGATTAATATACTAATACTATGGTAATCAAGGAAAATTACAAAGTGCTATGTATTACAATTAAGAACATTTAAAACGGATTTTGAATGAAAAAAAATCACTAATTAGAAACCAATATGATTTGAGTATTTAAGTAAGAGCAATACCTTACCGTAAATCATAAAAATCAAGAAAATGTTGTATCCCTTCATTCTCATGGGAGTAAATAAAAACAACTCAAATTTTAGGTCTAATGAAAAGTATAAACGTATATAAAAATTGTAAAATATGTTCGCATGCGCAAACATTTTCTACGCAAGAAAGGTTATCCTAGCCAAAAAAATATTCTACGCATATCATTGCATTATTATTTTGCAAATTTTCATGGTTCTGAATTTCATTTGTAGGCTTTATTTACACACACAGTCAATATTTGTGAGGAAAGTTTCCTCGATATGTTGATGTAATATCACATGTTTCGGATCATACGAAAGTCGAAAGTCAAATTTTATTGCCCCCCGCTTTTAATGAAAGTGGGAAACCAAATTTCGGTCGGTCTGTCTGTCCGTCTGTATTTCTATCTGTTTGTAACACTTTCATTTAAGTAATTATTGTTAATGATAATGCATCATTGATATATTTAAATGTCAATTTGAAGGCCACAGTATCTGATTTCCTCAATTATGTTGGATTTGTTTAAAATTAATACATGTAATTTAAATATGAAGAATCAAAAACACAAACTCGTTTATGTAAAAGTTTTTCATACAGTCTAAATGTAAAGATAAAGAACAACGAAGACTCATAAAATATATATGGAAAAATATGGAGATACCGAACAGTTCCAAAGTTCAAAAGTCCATTCAAATAATACAAACACAAGGACCTCTATAACATCAGAGGTAGGATCAGGCGACAGGAGGAGTGAGCATCCCTTGTCAGCCGAATGGTCATATCCGCCGAGTGCTCCTTGTCATAATCGGGAAAGTACTGAAAAATCCATAGACATTTCGATGTGTAAATAATGGTCTAACTTTAAGTATGAAAAAACATCAAGCTGCATTTGACTAAATGATAGATTTTCTCCAAAAACAAGATAGATATTCAATCAGAAACTCATCTCAAAAATCTAAATAGATATCATTTTCAGAGTACTTGAGTACTACAATCTGAATGGTTTTTAAATAAATAAATTTAAAAATGTCCAATTACAAGGTCAGAAAAAAATTAAGTTTCATCTTCATTGAAAAAGCAGCTGTCTTTATTCTTAAAAAGCCCTGAATTTAACATCATAGGGAAAATTTACATAAAGTTTTCAAAAGTTGTAAGGACTAATGTTATTTTTGGTATATATTTTTCAATTTTAAATTTTTGAAAGTTTGGAGTTTTTAAATCCATATCAGATTTATATCACTTCTCTAATATAATGCTGCACATACAGTACTCTTAAAGATTCTCCATCACTGCTGTAAATATTAAATTGAGAAGTATAAATTTTTAAGATTTACTGGAACCCTCTATGTATCTTTGTTTGTAAAAATTTTATGGAGTTTCGGATTTCAATACATGTATATGCATGGTAATTAGAATTCATTTTGGTTGTCGGGAATATTAAAAATAAAAAACTGACAAATGATTTAGAAATTGTTCCCAATTTGTTTAGAATTAGTGAGCCGTAAATAATGACTATTTTGTCACGGCTTTGTCAGCTGAGACCAGTACATACTAATCATATAATTGTTGAGGATAAATTTCCCCTCAATCGCTTAAAGGCAGTGATTTTAAGCAATGCCTTAAAAATACCTGGTTTGGGAAGCCTTGTCATACAAGTGTCCAAGGTCCATCATTGGATGCTAAAACTTGATTAACATTTACCTAGTAGTATACCGTGTATATACCCTGTACTCCTTGTCTGGCACTCGTGGTGACCATCAAACTAACATTTGATTCTTATATCCTGGTGAGTTTGTGATAAAAAATACCACAGAGTCTGACGCGTCTGTTAAATACTTGGATATTTTACTTGGAAAAGACGTTAATGGTAATCTAACAACCAAGCTATATGATAAACGTGATGACTTAAACTTTTCTATCGTCAACTTCCATTACTTAAGCAGCAATATACCTTCATCACTTGGACATGGAGATTATATACTCGTATATATCAGTTGATTCAATACGGAAGTGCATGGTCTATGTATGAACAATTTCTAAAACGAGGTAAATTATTGACAAGCAAGTTGATGAAACAAGAATATCAACAGTCCAAAGTCATTGGTTCTATGCTATATATACTTGACCTTAAAATATATACTAAGTCAAATGCTGACTGACGATTTTTCTTACTAATTGTTAGTGCATTATTTATACACTGAATTGACGACGGATATTTCCGTTATTTCATGATCATGACAAGGAGCACACGGCGGGTGTGACTGGTCAGCAGGGGATGCTCACTCCTCCATGGCACGTGATACCATCTCAGATGTTTTGGAGGTCCGTGTTTGTTCTGCTCCTATTTTGTATTGTTTTATGAACTTTTGATCTTGCATACTGTTAGTTATCTCCACATGTTTCATTTCATAAAGGGTTCTCACACTGATTTGCCCTTAAAAATTTTCTGAAGGTTCAAAATAATTTCCAAATTCATTCAGATACTCACATGTAAAAACATACGTATAAAAATATATCTGATCTACTTATGCAAGTACCTGCTTTGGTAAAAGGTCCAAACACATAAAATTATTTGCCTAGATATGCATTTATCTTAATGTATTTATCGTTTTTCACAATTCTGGAGTATTTTTAAGTTTTATTTGTACAAGCGAACTATGATAAACATGTCCTTTATAATGTCAATATAGTCTTCTGACTTACAGTACGTACGAGGGCTGTTCAATAAATAATGTCCTCGGTGCTTGGATAGAAAGAAAAAACGCTTTCCAATTATTTAGTCTTAATGATTTCACTTGAATATTCTCTTTTAATTAAAATACATGTCCATAACATTTTTATCTAATTTCTGATTGTTTTTAGAACACATTTTTGAGTATGGCGCTTCGTATACAGGAATATGGCCGATTCTATGATTTCCTGTACTTGTTTCTTCTTTCTCAAAGGTGCTTTTGTCAAGTTTGGAAAATTAAACAGGCCAACGAGGGGAAGATCTGGCGAATATTGTTGGTGTGACAAAAGATTAATTTTTTGTTTATTTCCAAAATTCCTTTACTCTTCATGGCGTGTGGTTTGGACGCTGTCATGAAAAAATTAATGTCGTGGATTCTTGATTCTGGTTCCTTCCTCTCATAAACCTTTCGATTTTTTTTTTTTTTTTTTTTTTTTTTTTTTTTTTTTTTTTTTTTTTTGCAAAAAATTTGCTTTCTCGACTTCTCCAGAAATTGAACTGCCTCCCCGAATACGAATTTAACTATAAGACCACTAGTATTTAAGAAATTGCATATAAAACAATCTTTGTGCTCTTGCAATTTTTTGATCTTCTAAGACCTTCGCTGTCTTTGTCAAGTGCATCTTATTGTAAATTTGTTTTTGAGGGTTTAAAGCAAATGATTCAAGTTTCATTATCTGCCTGAATTTCAGGCAAACGTGGATAACTACAATTTTTGATTTTTTAAAAAATAAGTATATATATATATATATATATATATATATATATATATATATATATATATATATATATATATATATATATATATATATATATATATATATATATATATATATATATATATATATATATATATATATATATATATATATATATATATATATATATATATATATATATATGTATATGTATATGTATATGTATATATATATATATATATATATATATATATATATATATATATATATATATATATATATATATATATATATATATATATATAGATATTCTTACACGTTGTCGTTTTCATTTTTTCAAAACATAGAGTGACAATTGAGTACTAAGCTTTTTTAATGCTGAATGTTCTTTAAAACAGTGTAAACTATCCCAAAAATGATGTCTATCAAATTTGTTTTGTGTCTTTAAGTCAATCAAACATCATCAGTGATCATTTGTTGAATTTTGGCAAACAGTACATTGGTTGTTGTAAGTCGTTGTCGCGAAGGACGGTACCCGTTTTCTATGCCCATTATATCATTTTTGTTCATGTGTCTATAAAACAGACATTGGTTGGTGTAAATTTCACATATTTCAGAGAGTATTTCAATGGGGTTCTTAAAACAAGTTGTACAGCAGCTTTTAATTTCTTTATAGTTTACTGATTCTTTACCATTGATTTTTAATGCAGTGTCTCGAATAGCCCTTGTTTTACAACTTATAACAATGAAACTATTTGATGAAAAGTGGTCAAATAAACTGTTAGCAATTCATTAAAGATTCAGTCATAAGAGAAGTCAGGCTTAATGTCATATGATTTCTATGTTGTAAGTCATAGAGCTCAGGGCATTATTTATTGATCGCACGGACTTTAAAAGAGTATTGAATGTAAACATCAGATCCCTCTATTTAGTTGAAAAAACTGTATCTAATACACAAACATCTGCTTCCAAACAAGTAATGTAAGGTTTTTAGATTAAAGTAAATCTGATACTTAGATAAATCAAAATAAAAACTAGAATTTTCTGTCTCCATAACGTAGTCGTATATATGTCAGGAGGAACAGATGGCAATAATTGACATGTTTATACATGAACAGATATTCAATATGGCAATAAAAATTTACATTGAAGAATATCAAGAGGTTCAAAATCACCAATTAAAGCTTGGCCATTGCTGTAAAAGAACTGTTCTTATTTATAATATTCATCATATCCTTTCATCATCTTTCACTTCAGCATGGCACTAATGCTGGGCAATGTTATGAAGATGGAGAATGTACCTTATTTCGTTGAAAAAATGTTTTTACAAAGCAGAGCAATTTTTTTACGTTGTGTCTTTATTATCCTTCTTTAAATTAAATTTAAATATATCAGATGGCGGTATGCAAAAATGGCAATACCACAATGTGGTAGGTACGGAAGCCGGTTGGTACCAGGTAGAAAAAATATCTGGCGGCCGCGAGATAAATTATTTGGAGGCTGCCATACAAAAAGATATGGCTGCCGCCAAATAATTTATCTGGCGACCGTCAGATATTTGTTTGGTGGCCGCCAGATAAAATATTTTTCACCTGGCACTAACCGGCCTCCGTAGGTAGGGGATCAGATCTTGG